GTATTCTTGCAAAGGAGGAGAAGTAAACCAAAAATGCTAAAGGACAGTGGATTTACCTCAGAAAGCACATAATCATTTTATTTAAATTCATTACCTGACTCCTTTAAGAAATCACTGGAGATATATATGTCCATATTATTTTAGATATTATCTTTTCCCAGAAATATGCTTTGAAATTTATCATAAAACAGAAAATAAAAGCTATCTCTATATTATAAGTATACATGAAGACATTGCTTAAAATATTGGAAAAAATCAGTGTCACTAATAGGAAACCTACTGGTACTTGGTAGATTCCTATTTACAGAGATGCTATGATTAGGGCAGAGTTGAACTGTCCTATAATATGCCTGTCAAAAGAAGAAACACATTTGTTTTGGAAAAAGTGAAGCCAGAATGTCCTTGGAGACAAGGATGGAGATTCTGCCTTCCATATTTTGGGAAATGAGTATGAGGATTACGTAGGATTGGGCTGTGTTTTGTTTTGCTGATGCATTAAATCTTATCTGATTTGACGATGTCTCACAACAATATTTACAGAAATCAACTGTCGTCTCGTCCTTCTGTGGAGCAGAGCTAGTGGGTTGCAACTCACCTTTTTGCTAATCATTGAGTACTTTCTTTATCCACTGCAACACATCTAACTGATAGCAGCTGTGTTTGTAGGGTATGGTGTTATGGAGCTATTTTTAAAGCTAAAAAAATGAAACTATATAGGAATATGGAAAGATTAAAATTAAAACAGGTATACAAATTTTACTCCACTTCCTAAACAATATTCCTCTGGAAACTATAAAATTTGATAAACGACGGTAGTTATAGAAAGGCTTTAGGGTTTTTTTGATCTTAGGGTCTCTATGAGTCATAGCTGATTCGACGGCAATCAGCAACAACACATACAAACTTTACACTATGACTACAACTACAAACAGTCACACTCTGAAAAAGGCTATAGAAAATCATAAACGCTAAATTATTTTGGTAGATTAGTGTTGTTGTTGTTGTTATGTGCCATCGAGTCGCTTGCGACTCATAG